ATAGTGAGGTAGGTATGTGGGGGCGTGTTCGAACGAGCCGTTTTAGGTAGGTGTGGCTAACTCTTAACTTTTATAAAGAATATCTCTTTGGATTTGAGACTTTAGTCTTTACAACTTTACAGATCTTCTTTATGCACCAAGAGCTTGTAACACTCCAAAGAGAAAGTAAAAAATGAAATCGCATCATATGACCCCTTTAAGCACATTTTATGAAAACATACAAATGGGATTATATGAATTAATGCAAATTAGCCACAAATTCACTAAAGTGTAAAATAGTTAGGACTTGCTGTAGTTGCTTTATATTTATAAAACTATTAACATGATAGCAGCATCACATTATTGATTTGAAGAACTAAAAGCAGAAATGATTCAAGGGGAAATGTATTGGAATAAAAGTATACAATTTATTTAGGAAATGTAGTGGAGCAAGTTGGCTGAAATATAAAAAGTAAAGTACAGATACTCCCAAAAAATAATTAACTACTGTAATGACGTATTACTTCGTTACAATACACCACTGGTTACTAATCATGTGTACCGCTAGACGTGTTGTGCAGTGAGCGTGATCTCCACGGAGGTGACGCATGTTCTGGGCGGTCTGATATTCGCGTGGATCGTGGAGGAGTGCGCCATCACTGTCACACTGCTGCACGTCGCTCTGACCGTAGCAGGTGAGAACATCCACATACTTCATGAAGACTTGAGATTAAACACATTTGGTCAAATCAGTTCGATCAGTTAACCTGAACCCTTGATAAAGGAACATTATGAGTGCAAATCAAGCAATGCTGTATCATGCTGTCAACAAGCACAGAAAAATATCATCTCTCGTCCCACAGTTTGTGAAAGACAAGCAAAAATCATGTTTATGGAAATGTGGGCCAATTTACTTATGTTGCATATGAGTCGGTCGTTCCTGGGGTTCGGTAACATTTCAACTTGGAATATATACATTTTTTTTCAACTACATATGATTCATATTCTAAATACCCCACATCATTAGGCACACATCTGACCTCCAAAAATTTTATTTTCCCACCTCAGGCATTAAAGACCTTTTTATTGTTTTTTTTGTTTCAGATTTTTTCAGACACCTTTTTATCTAAGCTCCGTGTAACAGACCAAATGGGATTGGTTTAAAAAAGATTTAAAACAGAATTTGTTATAAAACAAACATCTACCTACTGCTCATGTGTCCCTCATAACAATCAAATGATAACAAATGTAATATTTATCTCAGTTTTCACATTTTTATAGGACTGACGCTAAAAATACACAGTGTGTCTATGGTCTCTTTATTTTTGTAAAAAAAAAAAAAATGTATTTTTAATTTAGAACAATTTTGTTTTAGTCCTTAACATGTCAGATAGTAATCAGCAAGAAATGCTTTCGTGTCCTTGTGTGTATCATCCAAGTTACCATGTTTACTGGCTTTACTTGGTCACAACAGTCATTGAACAGCAGCTGATGTGTTTGCACCAAACACAGGTCAAGCTGATTGAAGGCTCAGGTGCATTAAACTCCAAGAAATAATTCAATTCAAAAAAGAAGAAAAAGTCACAATTTTCTCTTTTGGATCCTTTGATCTTAACATTTTTTTTCCTTGGATCAAGAGTGAACATTTCCTGAACATATATTACCCTGGACCACAAGTCATAAGGGTACATTTTCGAAGTTGAGATGTATGCATCATCTGAAAGCTGAATAAATAAGCTTCCCATTGATGTATGGTTTGTTATGTTAGGACAATATTTGGCCGAGATACAACTATTTGAAAATCTGGAATCTGAGGGAGCAAAAAAATCATAATATTGAGAAAATCATCTTTAAAGTTGTCCAAATGAAGTTCTTAGCAATGCATATTACTAATCAAAAATTAAGTTTTGATATATTTACGGTAGGAAATGAAGTTCTTAGCAATGCATATTACTAATCAAAAATTAAGTTCTGATATATTTACGGTAGGAAATTTACAAAATATCTTCATGGAACATGATCTTTACTTAATATCCTAATGATTTTTGGCATAAAAGAGAAATCTATAATTTTGACCCATACAATGTATTGTTGGCTATTGCTACAAATATACCTGTGCTGCTTAACACTGCTTTTGTGCTGCAGGGTCACATATGAGATCAATACGATACATAAACGTGACGTGTCTCTGTCATGCTACAGTCATATAAGTACATCAGAGTTTTGAGAGCCACAGACTCTACTGAATAACATCCATTAGTGGAAAAGCATCTTTATCCACACAACACCACTGACAGCCACAGACTACAGCAAAACATCAGCCGGTTCGTTTGGCTTGCGGCTCCTTTTGTGAGTGTAGTTTACCTGTGCTGTGTTGTTTGAGTGAATTAGATTAGTGGATGCACAGAATTATGGCATTTCTTTATCTGTGAACTAGAGTTGCAGTTCTGGAAAATTACATAATGCTTAGCAATAAAATATGTTTAACAAAAGGCTTGCTCACCAACAAGGCTGATATAATGAATCCTGCCACTGGCCAAAATCTGTAGAAAGCTTGAAGTATTAGCTTCATGTTATTGTGAGTCTGCCGTCAGGCGACAGAAAACATGGCGCTCATGGCGTGAGGCGCTAAAGAACAGTGAGACGCAATATAAATATAACATATACAACATAAACTAACAATTAAAATATATTATGAATTAAATACAAGAACATGTCCTGTGTGAACAAGTCCACCTTGGACACATTAAATGGATTGCTGTGCTGTGATGGTCATGACAAAAATGTGGCAAAAAATACATTGGCTTCTACATTTTTTTTTTCTATTCAATACTTTATTTGCATGGCGTAATAATGTAGGCAAATGTCTGAATGAATGAATGATTGATAGATGTGATTTATTGCAATTAATTTGATTTTTTTTTATATCTAATTAATTTGTTTACAAAACTTTATCCCATCTTAGATATTTTCATTACATGAACTTATAGTATTTGCATTGACGATATGCATGTGTCTGTGATAAATGTTTTGTAAAATAGTATTTTTGAAAGTACATGAGGACTTTTTGAACCCGTTTTCACTGTGACTTTGGTTTCAGTTATGGCTGATTTTCCCTCGACAGAGCACTGGTGGATTGCTCTCGGTAAGCTCTCTCTTTTGGAAAAGCTTTGTCACTGAAACATTTGTCATTTTAGCCTTTGTCATACAGTTTAGCATCACATAAAACCAATTAAACATACTGAATATATAACCAAGAAAATTAATAATTACCAAGAATACACTGCTGAGTCGGTCCTCTTTTCTCCATAAAAGCTTATGGGTCATCAAATCTGGTAGCTCGGGTATCAAAATGATTCCCAAATTTACAGTCTGAAGGGACGTTCATCCACAACGTCTAAGTCTCTATCACATATCACTGACAATTGTTGTCTGTTGTTGAATTGCTTATAGGTCGGGGGGTCCAGACCTGTCCTATCCCAATTAAACACACCTGTGGCCGGATTCACAAAAAGAAATAAACTTCTGAAGACTTCTTAATAAATAAATTTAGATCACTTCCAAGAAGTTTGTTCCTAAGTGCAATTCTTGAAAGAATTCTCTGTAAGTTCTCATTTATATGTTATTTTGCTGGCCTTTTGTGACATCCTATGGTGAAATCTCACAAGAGTCCAATGGATTTTGACTGATGCAAATATGATTGTCGGTGCTTACATGCAAATGTACATTTGCTTCACTTACTGTATACAGCAATGTCTTATATGTTAAATTATTTGAATTGGAAGGATTTTGGGGTGTTTAAATCTGGTGCACTCTGTATTAATTTGGCCATCTGAGACAA